AATTATAAAGTTTCTATCGTCAGTTTCCACTTCCATCATTAGACCCAGGATATTAATCTAGAATCAAAGTCTTTGTCAAAACAAATTAAATTAAAACTCAATGGGGTTGCTTCTCTTACAGAGGTTCTACGCCTTACTAACGGTTATATCAGAAAATAAGCTATATTTCTTATAAATATGGCATCATCATTTCAGCCGAAACGTCTACTGCTGGATAAAGGCCACACCCAAAAATTACCACATTGTGCCAGCAATCCTTACATTGATTAAGTATTGAGTCTATGTTTTAAGACTACGAGATAAAATATGATGAAAATTGAAATCGTAATGGGATTGGATTGAAATTGACATTATTGCGTTGAAGAGAAAGCCTGTAGATCGTCGGTCCATTTTGCGGGAAACTTGTATACGCTCAGTTTTCCGGTCCGTGGTCGCTATTTGAAGATATTACTGTCCTACGAGCTATGTGTATTAGCTTTAATCAAAGGTCATGTTGTGAGTCTGAAGTGGATAGCCTGAAGTGGCTATCCACTTCAGGCTCACAATTCAACAATATACAGAATTTTAACTTTGTGAAGTTTGTATTATAAATATTTTTGTCTCTAATTGTTAGTCTATTGGTATAGGTAATTTTATGACCGTGTGGTAAATTTCATACAAAGATTCCCCAAAGTGTTTATTCCGATATGAGTCTGTGCGCATTATGTCTAAAGTTGGTGCATTAAGCGTTACCTTAAGAGAACCTAAAGGGAATTGTTCAATTTTGGCTTTTGGTGGACAAGCTAATTAGTAAAAACTATGTAAACAGTAAAATATTAATAAAACTGAAAAAAATATTTTTTATACTCTCGTCATGGGAAACTAAACATTAAAAATATTATTTAAAAAAGTATTTTTTGGATTCGGATGTGTTTTGTTAACATGTTTCACTGTGTTTCCATATCAATAAATGTTATTGAAGTACTATTACTAATAGTATCGATTAATCGATCAGGTTTAACTTTAATAGAAATGAAAGAAATTAAAGTATATATATATTAATGCATATACAGTAGGTGAACTTTTATAAAATCATGTATCATATATATTAAAAACATTACAAATAATCCTTTTCGGTTAGATATAAGTTAATTTACACTAACAATCGATTACTTTCTAATCGATTAATGATTTTTATATGGCAGCACCATTTCACTTTGTCAACAAATAGGTTTGAGTGATAATTCTTATTAAAATGATTGTTTATATAAAATAATTCCTTAAATAACGTATTAATATCGTTTAACGTGTTGTTTTTGGTAAATCCATGTAGAAAGATAGAATTGGTAATTCATAATTGTTTAGTGTAATGAATGTATTTAAATCGAGTAATGGTCTCCTACGTGAATATCGTCGGCAGCTTTATATAAATTGTGAAAGATCTATATTACATACTAGATGATATCTACTGCAAACAATATCCGACAGAGAAACACACATTAGAAATGAAATTATTCATTGGATATCCCCACGACAGGTAGGATTATAGTTATTTTTATTTATTATGATTACTATAATTAAACTTCCTTTATGACATGTAAAACATTAATATATCGTTTAAGTAATATTTTGTTGACAAATAATTTAATTATATATTATACTCTTTTAGGTGCAAGGATCTGATCGCATCTGTCACCCATGTTGGCAGCGAGCAGATAGAGACAGTTCCTTCTAATATTTCAGAACCTATACAGAACATTACCTTACCGGATTTTAAAAGAGCGTCTGATTCACAAGCATTATGTTTTGTTCCGGGTTGAGACTCACCACAGCAACTAACAGTTCCCAGATGGCTTCAGGTAAAATTGTTTGTTGATTTTAACTTTTATGTACCAAAAACCAGTAGACTGTGTAATTCTCATTTACATTATAATAATTGGGCTGAATGGTTGTCTATCATGCAAACTATTCATACATTTACTACAGAACTTATACAAGATTTTGCATCTTTGTAAAAAAGAAATCTTACAATGGATTTTAACAATATTGAAGGAATAACTGAAGACATTGTGCACTTTTGAAGGACTGTCTAAACAGCAGTTCCTTCAGTTAAAATTAAATTGATTTAAAAAATTCTTTTGCTTTGGGAAGCTACATCTTTCATCAGGATGAAATACTATTAATACTGCCACTATTAACTAGTTGTTCTATATTTAATGTTAATTTATTATTAATTAGTTATGTGCAAATGTACTGAATAGGTGTTTTAAAATAGTCCTTTCTGTTAATAGGCGCAGAGGAAAATGTGAGTCTACAGCCACTCCAAGTTGAAGAATTGTGCTCGAGGTTGAGCACAAATCAGGAGAATAGTCTTGTTTGAGGGAGAGCACACGTCAGGAGAGGCCGTGGAAGATTCAAAGATTAGTATGTCATGTGACCAACTTATATAAATGTAGCTGCTTTTTTGACTGCCCAAATGCCAGCCTCCAGCTGAAGAGAAACTGTATGAGCAGTGTAATTTATTTATTAAGTGATTATGTAAAGTATATTCTTATAAATATGTGTATTTAGAAGTACTGTCTTTTGCTTGTAGAATTGTATTGTCAAATTAAAGGTAAATATGTGTAAATCTACAATTTCTTTATTTAGACATCTCTTTTTTTTTATTTCTAACATAAATAAATGAATATGATAATAAGGTAATGAAAGTATTTTACAAAAAAATAACTTTTTCGTTACATCGTTAATGGAATACTACACATGCTTAAATATATAAAATTTTAAACTTTCCCGTGAAAATATTACAACAGTTAACTTTCTTAAGATATGAAAAATTAAAAAATAATGTTTTTTATAACTGTAGATAATGTCCACTCAAAGCCAAAGTGCCCATACAAACTGAACAATTCCCTTTGTGACTCGTCATTAAATACATCAAAATATGCGTACTGGTAAGACAGTCGGGTATTATACTCGTACTACCAATAGTAAATAATAGAGGAAAAATATTACAGAGGTCCATAATATTCAGTGTTTTTCTATCATATATTTATGAATAATTTATCAGACCTTCATCATACTCGTCTAAGATTAGTTGTGGCTGAAGTGTTAATTGTGTTATAGAAATTGGTGACAGCTAAGTGTGATTGAACGTTTTATATGTAATTAATGTTTTTAATTAAAACGAATATTTATAAACAAGCATTGGTAGATTAGAATATTATTCTCATATTCTTTCGTCATCATTCTTACTAATAAGAGCTAAAAAGCTGCTATACTAAGCTGCTCAAAAGAAGTTTAAAGTATCCGCATATATAACATAACGTAAAGACATTCACGTCATAGTTTTAAGAAGGAGCACTATTTTTCAAAATTTGAGAAATGAAAATTTAATCAATAAATGTTTGAATTTGAGTTGTACCTTTCTGAAACGGCAGAGTTGGAATTGAAAAGTCTTTTAAATTATTGGATTAGGAACTTGGATGTTCAAAATAAGTAAACCTTGTAAGGCAGCACTATGATATACCGCAATTGGCCGACGACCGACAAACGTATATTGAATTTTAAACCTTATTCTTGCGCTTAAAATGACTAATCAAAGTTCGAATGGTCCTTACAGGTCTATGAATGGTTTGTTATTGAACATACGTTTGATGTCGGTTGACCATTCGTTTGCTCAATCTGTATGCACCTTTACTTAGACTGGGTTTATATGGCATTAGCATTTATCCTATTAATATTATAAATGTGAAAGTTTCTTTGTTTGGATGTTTGTCGGTTAATCACGCCGATACTATTGAACGGATTTTGATGAAATTTGGTATACAGATAGGGAATTAGCTGACTTAGATAAAAGGATACTTTTAATTTTTATCCCACTTAACATTTCCCTAGGGTCCACGCGGGCAAAGCCGTTGGTGAAAGCTAGTGAATCATAAAATAGTTCATACTTCATAGTTAATATAAAAATCTAAGTAATACTTGTGTATCAAATCAGATATATTTAGATGAACTGAATCCATCATAATGCTAAACTGGAAACTGCGGCTAATTCTTTTTCATACCAACATGAGAATTATTTGTTTTGAAACGGAATATTTTCCTTTTTTTTTGCAACAAAAAACTACACGAGATGCCTGTTCTGAATTCCTGTTCTTTCTATTATATTTGATCAATTTCGCATTTACAATGCTATATTGAAAAATCTTAATGAAAAATGCTTAAACATAGATTGATGAGAAAACTCCCTGTAGTAGCGGGAAAGTAGCAAGTGCATGAAAGATTCGTAAGTCCTGTTAGGTGGGGTAGTTCAGTGGTTAGAGCAGTCACCCGGATTGCGAAAGGTCATGGTTTCGAGTCCCATCTCAGGGTGCCGGGACCAAATGGATTTTAAGCGTTCTTCATTAAGAATATTCTGTTTCATTCTTTAATTACTTTGTAATAACGTCTAGAACTTGAGTAAATTTAGATACACATACCTTAGAAATTTTTACTAGCTTACACAGAAACTTTGTTATTACAGAGCATTACTTACTTGATTTCTATTCGGAAACATTTTAATACAGTTGATTTAGTTACACTATTTATTGATGTGTATCACTGTTTCGATTAGAAACTTCCCAGAAATTCAGTTAGTTTATTGAGGCCCAATGGTTTATTTAGTCACAATATTTAGTGTGGTCATGATTTGATGTAAATGTCAAAATAGTGATATTTATTTTCCTCCATAATATTGCTCGTAAATTATAAATCTATGGCTCGTCCCATATATTTACTCTATACCTTTAATAATATCAATGAGGTAAGTTCCTTCAATAATATTGACGGTTGCCTTTTGTTGTCGGTTATATATTAATCGAAACACCTAATATCATAAATGATAAGTAAGATAATAGTAAGAAAGATGAACCTTGACCCTTATAATTTTGTCTATGCCTTTAAAATACTGTTTTTCGGACATTGTTTAGCATTGTCTTACATAATTATTAAGAACAAATTCACATCAATGAAATATTTATTACTCAACATCTCTTACAGCTGGGCGGAGCCGTTTCTAAAGTAATACCTTTTGTACTACCTCCAATAGTACATGATTTTGGTGTTGTGCAAGATTCACAAGAATCATCCTCTTGTTCTTGTGGACACTCAAATTTTACTTCACATTCATCTTCACACGCATTCTTTGCTGGCCTGCTCATAATACTGCTACATGAATCTTCGCACTCGTCTCTTGCATTACAGCTAAGAGAACGTAGTATGCTTTTTATTACTGGAATTTGGGCTTGGGCACTCCCCTTTTTGATTATCGGTTTTCCTCTCCTATCTTGATAAGAACTTCTATCGTCTTCTTGATCTCTTCCGTCTCGTTCTTCTCGGATACGATCTCTTCTGTCTCTTTCATCTTGTTCCTGGTCTCTTTTTTCTCTTTCATCTTGCTCGCGATCTCTCCTGTCTCTTTCATCTTGCGCACGATTTCTTCTATCTCTTTCGTCTTGTTCTCGATCTCGATCTCTTCTCTCGCTGTCATCTTGTTCTCTATCTTTTCTGTCATTATCCTGCTGATCTCTATCTCTTCTGTCACTGTCCCGTTGTTCTCTTTCTCTTCTATCATCATCTCTACTTTCTTGAGCTCGATCGTCACTCCTTAGAGGTTTGCGAGATCTATATAATCTAAATCGGTCTTTACCCCGTTGGTATCTTCCTCTTTGTCGATTATTCCTGTCTTCTATGACGTTATCACGATATCTGTTTCTGTTATATTTATCGTCATCGTCTCTATCACGGTTATTCTCGTATCGATGGTAGTTGGAAGTCTGTGTTCTATCTCTGTAATTTTTGTTGGAATCTTTGAGCTGGTTATTAACGACGTTTTTAATTGCAGACTGTAAAAAAAAGGACAATTGAAATGAGATTTTCATGAAACTTTGATCGAATTATGAAATTTCTTAAATGTGAAAAAACTTTAGTTTTATGAATACGTACGTACCTGAGTCAATAAGCTCAACAGATTTATTAATGATGCTGAACTTTTGCCTCTCAAATCGAATTCACCCACATCTCTGTCATATTTATGAGACAATAGTGCATTAGATGCTCCTGAGTTATCCAAATACAACAAAACAGGATTTTTATCAGATTCTCTATCATAATAATTGGAGCGTCTAGATTGTGAAGCTTTTGTTGAAATGATAAACTGAAACAAAATATCATTATCATCACAATTAGCACATATGTAGGTTTTCATATAAATATCATTATAGCGCAAGGGTTGACGATAATCTATAAGGGAGCTACTGTGCCGATTAAAAATGGCCTTGTGCCGTCGGACCGTTGCTTTATCTTTGAAAATCAAAAAAGACAACATAAATGATTTATCTTTAAACCCATTTCACCTGGAACAACTGTTCATCCGAATTTTCACAATATGAAACTACTTTTCATGTACCATTCTCACATAAGATGTAATTGTTTTTGTGGATCTACATATTTTATTATCTATTGCATAAACCATCTCCTCGCTTCGTTGTATACATGGGATGCCCTAATCATGACTATTTTATTGTGAAATAATAAAAAAAATGGCAAATTCACACGACTCAGTCGAACGACTATAATTTTAAATTTTATAGTTGATTTCTATAATAATTGGACTAACTCCTAAAGGCTTATATAGGTTATTAATCTTAACCCCCACTTCAATAGAAGCTTATTGAATTGTTTAACATTTTTTACTAGACTTTTTTTGAAGTCGCCTATATATTTTTTTCATATTTTTAGTTATTTGAACTAGTATATGTATGTAGTTCATAACTTAAAAATTATTGAGTTGGTAGCTAATTGAACTATTGCGTTCTGTTGTCTAATTTGCAAAAGACAAGTGTATCAACACATGTATACATACAAAATTTTGTATTTCAACTTTGAAGTTGGTTAAAAAAGGAAAATTTGGATATTTAATTGATTACGAAAATGGAGATAAATGGTAATCCATAACATCAGGTAACATACGAGTGGGTCGAACACTTACATTAACAAAAAGTATTGCCAGAATTGCAGGGATTCCTCCCTGTTTTATAGACACCATTTCTTGTATTCTTCTACTGGTGTCCAAATCAAAACTGAAAATTGGATTATATTGTAATCTTAAAGGTATTCAATTATTTTCCAATCAATCAAAAACTTCGTATTGTTTTGTTACAGTATTGAATTGATTAATATTTATGTTTCAATACATATAGCAAGTGCTTAATGGCTCATTTACATTGATAGGGCTTACTGGTGGAGTGTGAATGATTTTTGTGACTCATTTTTATTCGTCAGTGAAACTTCTTCTTTTATTAATGACTTATCTGCGCATTTCGCACAATTTTGCCAATTTCAAGTGAATAAATTAATTTCTATATGTAAATGAATTGTCAGTGTATTGCATGTTTCGATCCTCATGTCAAAGTAGTTAAATTTAAAATAATTGTGGAAGTTGTAACACTGTTGTTACAATCACATTCATCGTTCTTTATAATTCTTTGATCTTTATTAAAATACATATTAAAGAAGTAAAACAAATCAAATAAGTACATGTATTTTTAAGTTTTTTAAATACTGGGAGAAATTTAGAGAATGGTACAGTCAAAAGCAGGTTACACTAAACTGTCAAATTTCTCCGACTTATTGCGTTAGCCTGATACAAATACGAGAAAAACGGAATTATTTGTGAGCCAATTACAAGAGCCTATATTTAAGAATCCATCTCATTTTAGCAAGGGAGGTATTAAAAAAACATCAAGTCAAAAAACCTTCATTTCCTTCACGCAAAATTACTAATACGACTTTTTTCAATAATTTTGGTTTAACTTATCATAGCGACAATAAAAATTACTGAAATCCAACAAAAAAATTAACAGGGAGAAGTGATTTTTATTAAACTTTATTTTTTACTTTTTTGTAGTAGTTAAATATGATAAAACTTTATTTAAAGTATTTTTGAGTGGATTTTAATGATATTTTCTAGAATATGTGTTTAACTCAAAAGTCTGCTGCATATATTTCGTGTTATATTTTTGCTTCATAAATAATTATAAGGGTAAGCAATATTGCCATGGAAATTTTCATATAAAACGAAATATACTTAACGCAATATAGTAATATCGATTGAAGTCGTATTGCATTGTTGATATTATTGAATTTTTACAAATATTTTTTAAATATTTATTGTCCGTGTTTTTATAAAAATATGAGTTTCCAAATATAATATTAAAAAAAATACGTATTTCTTGGAAGTAACAGCGTGAAAATAAGTAGAAGTCACTTTATATGTATTTTGCTTATTGCCATTGATTTTTATTTTTTTTTACTAATAATCCGAAAGAAAATGTCGTTGGATTAATTCATATATTAAAAAGGAAATATATGATACCATCATAATAAAAAAAAAACAGCTGTTAAGTTTTTATGTTTGATCCCATACTGAAAGTTAGTATTTGTATCAGGCTAAGAGTACAAAACCAATTGCAGAAATTTGACATATTGCGGTAGCCTGATGTCAAGCCTTGTGTGCCTATGTTGTACTATTCTCAAAATTGAATTAAAAAGTCTAATTATTAAGGAGGTTTGTTTGTCACTATTGGCGTTGAATCAAAATGTAAAATGCACATAAGTATTAGGAGTACAAAGGAATCTGTGACCAATCATCTGTTAGAACACAGAAATACTAAAAGAGACATCACCTTTGTTCACGAAACTGAAATTTCGCATGTTAAAATAGCAAACATCCTGTACAATAGACGATGGTTTCTAGTAAAGGAGATATCAAGTACACACCGGTTATGTGAAGGCATAGACTTATAAAGGCAAAGACCATACCATTAATATACCCAGCGGAATCTTGGCTTGGTAGGCACCACGTAGGTACTTATCAAGTAAATACTAGAGAATTAAATGTCTGTTTCTAATGTTTATTATGAAATTAAGGTGCAACATTGTTCGACTTTAATTAAGATAAATGGGAGTGTGTGGTAATGTTACTTATAAGTTTTTTTATTGGATCTTTTTAGTCATCACATTCAAGTTTTTATTTTTAGTATTGTTAAGATTTTCATGGCGTAAAGTTTAAAGTTTTTTTATTGGATCTTTTTAGTCAACACATTCAAGTTTTTATTTTTAGTATTGTTAAGATTTTCATGGCCACTTGGCTCGCATGCGTTTCAAGGTGTTGCCATCTGAAGTTGCGGGTCCCGGTCCGGTCAATGTAGAAAATTATTTTTTCTATATTATCTCGGGTCTATGTGTTGTGGTACCATCGTTGTAATACCAGCGCTTTAGTTACAAATTTTGGGAGTTGAGTAATATATGTGAAGTTGTCTCATATTAATTTATTCATGTAGCAAAAATATATAAATTAGAAGTAGAATTCTGCTTATTATTTCAAAAGACTTAAATGTAATATATTTGTATGTGTATTTCACAATGTTACATCATTAGATCCCTTATTATCATATTATAACTGTTTTCCCGCCCGTGTATGATGTAACTTCCCTGAAAGAACTGTCATGATCGATTAGTATTTCCGAAAATGACCCCCTACAAAGAAACATGGTTGGAAACTTTAGCTCCTTATTATTATTACCTGTATAGATAGGATTAGCGTAAATGTATTCTTTTACCACACTTCGATCAGTCGTTATCTCAGTATCCACTTCTTTTTTACACACAGTTGATCCAATTTTTTTCCATCTTCCTCTGTGGGCTAATTGTATCAATTTCAAAGGTATAACGATTCAAAGAATTATATAACTATTGAAGAAACGAATAATGATTTTAATTATATAATAAAAACTTCTGTTAATACCGTTAAAAGATTGCAATTAGCATTCGACTCTTTCTTTACAATAGCTTTCAAACATTTATAGCGATAAATGTTTGAAAGCTAGACAATTTCAATTACCGTCTATCAATTATAAAAGGCAATTCCAATCACATGGCAAATAGTTGTAATGTGAAGTTCGTGAATATCTTCCAGATTTCAAATTGAAAAGATTTTATAATTAGACGATAAAGAACCTGGTAAGTAAGTCCTATCTACGTTATTGTTATGTCTGTGGGACCAACAATACCAAAGGATTGTGAAGTAGGTAACGATATCTCCTGTGGAATGCTTTGAACTGTCTATAAAATGTGCCATCGATTCCCGAGTACCATCACAATACCACTAACAGTTAGGGTTGTGCAAATTTGAATTTTAATTCAAACGTGCCGCTTTATTTGAAAGAACATTAGGTAAATCCTTAGATTATATATTCTCCCGATACCGTGTCAGTATCCAAAAAGTGAACAACACTAAGATCCACTAAAACAAATGTTTTGACGGGTCTTGTCGTCAGAATCTCAATGGCGGTCGCGTTCGTCAAGAGACTTTTTTTTATAAAAAATACTAGTTGTGTACTGAAATCAGGCTTTAATTATACTCACAAGGAATATAATAATTTAAGCATTAATTTTTATTAATAGGCATAATTTGCTGGCGCATTTCTTTTAAAATCGTATAAAATCAAAAAGCGCTAAAAACGACCAAAGAGTATAATAATATATCCATGAATATTACCATGGGTGTAAAAATATTATTTACCCCTTTTTATAATGTCGTTGCTTTCGGAATTTGAAAAATCTTTCTATTGTCCAAATGGTATTAGTTAATAGTTTAGATTATTATCTTAGACGAAGAAGAATAATAATAGTGTCTTTTGCTTAGTAAAGAATAAATATGAGTCGTTACGTTGTCTTTTATAAGTAAGGAAATGTGCCAAAATTAGCGTATTTGTTTGCTTTGTCTGGCTGAATAATATTTAATTTAGTATATTTGATTAGTTTTGCATTTACAATGCTTAAGAAATCCATTTTGTCCCTGGCACTTTGAGATGGGACTCGAACTCACTAGATGACCATTCGCTAGAGTAGTCACCCGGGTTGCAAAAAAAAATACATGAATAAAAAATAAAAAGTGAACAAAAACTATGGAAAGCCGTAAATTACAATGACTTTTCATTGAAGATGTACTTTTCAATCCTGTATTTCGAATGTTATTTCTATAACCAAACAGAAATGTTTAGCACATTGTAAATTTGTTATAATAATAATAAGTTAACATAGGACATAAGAAACTAAACTTTACAAATTTCTCATATTTCAGGGTAATCGTTTTACATAATTATCACTCACGTCACAAGGCAAGAACCCAGTGCCGTTAAAACAATGAAAAAAAAAGTCTCATAAATGAAAATTTGGCAACGAATAAAAACTCTTCGCTCTTTGGACACTCCAATATCAAAAGGCTTCACTACTATCGTTGCGTTTTGTAGTAATTTAGATAATAAGGTAAATCAAATAGAATTCTATTGACTATATCTGTAATATATAATTATCATATTGGTAATTGATGTATTACAGAAACATTGAAGATATGATTATTATATTTTAGAGGTAACATTTAGTTAGATGGAAGTAGTTATTATTTAATTTTTAAGTTTTTTTTCCAAATTCATTTGCGTTAAAGAATTGTCTGTATTGAGTGATTTCTTTTAGTATAAGTTATCAAATTAAAAATAAAATTATTTAAATTTATGACTGACTGCAATTAGAACTTTGTTTAGCCTTATAACTTGGCTTAATATTTTTATTTTCTTTTAATTTAGTCCTTATTCTATATTCTATGTGCCAATGATCATAACAAACAGTTGTGGTATACGACTACGCTGTCTTTTGGTCATTGCAATTATAATATAACTGTCGCTAAAAAAATCTTGTTTCAAATTTTTTAGAGCGTGATTTAGCTGTATTCGGGTTTAAATTTTTGAACTTATTTTTTTTTAAATTATTGTGGAGTGCAAAATTTGTAAATAAAAAGATATTTTAAATTATCATGTATTTTTTTACAAAAGTCTCCAAGCGGGTGGCATAGTTTTTCCACACATCGGTTTCTTGCAAGGATCTGGGGGAGGCGGTGGTGGTGGACAGAGGTTCAAGCTGTCAAAAACTTGTTGACAACTGAACGGGCATGATGGTTTCCTAGGGGGACACTTCCGGACGCACTTGTCTACTTTGTTGCAGCGCGCGCGTAATGCAGTACGTAAAGATTGCTTAGCCTCTTCGAGACTGCTTGAACTAGACTCAGATTCCGACTCGAGCTGAAAGTAAATAGTTAAATGTCAAACATTTTCAGACATTTTACATTCCCGAGTAAATTTAACTTGCTAAATATAAACCAAGATATTGTTAACGTAAAAAATCCATCAATAACATTTAATTGAAACATAGCTCGCACCGTTAAAAATTGTAAACGACTAAATCACAGACTTACAAGACATATCTTAACTAGGAAAAGCCTCACTTAAGGATCGCCTAAGCAGACTAGTTTCGTTCCAAATAAACATTTTTTCTTTTAGCCCATGACACATATGTGACCTGTATTACGCAAGGTGCCGCTTATCGCATGTCATATCTTTAGACGTTTCTTCAGACCATTAGGTTTTTCCTAGCCATTTGTAAAATCATTTTCACCTTAGGCGACTCCTAAATATTTAAGTTTAGTGAAAACGAGCATTAGAGTTCATAAAGTGAAAGAAATTACGAGTAAAATCTATTTATAAAATTATTTAAAAAAGTGAAACATAGATTGATTAAGGTTGATAATGGATATACATAATTACTCACTGCTGCTCTGTTACCATCGAGCCCCATATAATAGTCGAAATCAAGTGGTTCGCTTCCTTCAACATTGATGATGTTCCTGGTATCCGATGTCCTTGGTTTGGTACCCACATCCACTACAAAGACTAATGGTTTCTTGGTATCTCTTGCACCTAGTAAGCGAGACAGTAAATCTCGTACATTATCTGATCTTGCGGCTACGTAGGCATCCTAAAAATTAGAAAAAAGGTAAAAATCAATATGAAAAGAAATAATGACATTTCTTCCGATTACGGATAAGATTTTTTTTTTGTGAAGTGCCTTAAATATTGTACTAAGATTTTGCTAGATACATAGATGTTTTGACATTCTAGCAAAATATGTGCATGGCAATAACATACGAGAGAGTTAGCGAGAGGCGTGGGTGGGCGGTATTTGTTGTAAAATTTGCTAATTTCTACGTTACAGTCGCATCGTATGATAGCAGAATCTCATTTACTCGCATTTCGTCATTGTACTATATACTTGAAGTCCAATATTATTAATGTAGTGCAATGTCTTCCTCACAAATCAATGGCAACAAATATGCTTATTACTCTATGCTTTAGTAACAAGAACTGTGTCATAAAGGGTTGTCGTTGAAGCACCATCGTAATACACCATAGATTTTCCATATTAACGTTAACATTAGCAGATTTGTTCTATTGAATGATTTTTAAACGACTTCAAAATCGAAAAGGAAGAGGTTGTATGTTCGACGGCGATGTATGTTTTTCATTTTTTTTTTGTTCAAGGTCGTTCTATTTTGAAAAAAGTTTTTATTGCAGAATAGCAATGCTGTTATTTGTTTCTTTTTTCTTTTCGCTATTACCCAACGACATTATGCCAAACTTATGGAATTGAAGACACACAATATAATAACTTACAGTAATTATTAAAAGTAGAATAAACTTAACAAGCACTGAACGGACATGGCGTGCTTCCACCATCGTTGCCAGCCAGCACTGATGTTATGTTTTGTATTGGTCTGATTATTTTAATCATCAACTAGGTATATTTACAATTGTGTTCTTGAATTAAATTATTGGATTTTTAATTTCTAATACATAATTTAATCATACAATAGACATTCGAAATAAGGATTTATAGAGGAGTGATTCTCGAGGGAATTTTCCTAGTTTCATATCGGTGACATCTTTTTTCCGCTCTATAGGGGTAAAGTCTAAAAAAATATAATTATCGACTGAAAACTAAATCAGTCTATAGTAATTAGTTGGTAGAATCAACAGTACATCAGGTTATACAAACCTATTAAATTTGTCCACTTGATATTAATCCTTAATACGTTGAAGGCAGAGTTCAAAATCAATAGGTATGATGCCTGGGGAAAAAAAGTAATTCTATCTAGTCCATCAGTTAGTAGAAAAATATTGGATATATTTTTTTTTATTCAATTTAACGAGAAGTAGCTTAGCTAATGAGCATTAAAGTTGAAGAGTGGAGGCTCGCTACGTCACAAATATGTGGAAGATGTACCAAATATGTCACTGGAGACTGAGGAGAACGGGCAGTTTTGGGCTATCAGCAGCCATTGATGAAATTATTGTCAAATTAAAGTACTAATGCTTAGGAACACCTTGGATTTTGAAGTTTTTTTTTATTTAATTTAGGTTAGAAAATAATTAAATACGAAAACTAAATAATGTAATTGCATAGAACAATATCGCATAATAAATATTGATTATTTGGGTGGACTTAATGCTATCATGTGAACACCAAAAACCCAGTTTAATTAGTTGGACTTCCTGCTCAGGCAAAAACCAATCAGCGCCGAACGATAAAGAAGACATGGGACGACTAGACGTGCGCGCCGCTCTGTTATGCTTGAGGACTTCAAAATAGCAGCATCATTGATTAATGCTCTTCAGGAGCCCACCCGGGACAGTATCCATGGAGCTACATTTGTCGATACCATAAATAACCGCTTGAATCAACCAAATCACCCAGCTGATTTTGTTGCTCACACATAAATAGGCAAGTATGACTAGTGATGAGCTTATGTTTAAAGACTTTCAAAATCCCTCAGAAGAAGACCTTATTTTATTTGTTCTTGATACATAACGAATCAAGCTAGTCCATAGGTGTTATGCTGAGCATCTTGTACAGGGATTGTATAATACAGTGCATCAAAAGCAACAAATAAGGGGGCTTAGTGAGTATATTAATAAGCAAGATTTTTTGTTCCTACTATTATCCTACTGGTCCTACTGTTGTTATTCTTATACCGTCATTGAAAGTCAAAAAATGGTCAAGAAGCGATCGCTTATCGTTATTGTTCGTGTTTGAGTAGAAGCCGCATGGTCGGATGCTGCGCACATATTATATGCGCAGTTTGGTACCTTGGTTGAGTAAAAAATCAAGCCGAAGATGTACGATTACTAGCAGCGGAATTAAGTGCTATTATAGAAGAAGAAAAGACACTAATAAGCCACTGACCTTCTTATAAAGAGTATATATAATAGTCATTGTAAACATTAATAATATAATATATGCTGTGCTAATTTATTAAGTAATAAATACGCCCTGGTACTGATAAAACGAGATTTTTTATTTCACCTTAACTAACATTAGTTTTTACTCTAAACTATTATCATGTCGTTCTCAAAAATAAAAATAATTTTTATCCACTTATAAGTATATTTTGGCGATGAAACATCTCCACTGTATTTGTAGGACTACATAGTATAACTATAGATTAGAAATACTGTTGGCCGCGAATAGCCCAAGCTCCATATAATTTTGCCCATTTTCCTTTATTGATTAGTAACATGTTGTGGAGCCATGAGTACTTTAGATTTAAAAAAAAAGCGGGCAAGGATCCCTTACGCAGGAGTCACAGTTTTCGCAATAATTTGGAAAATATGTTACATCGTGGAAAAACAAACATCTTATATCTGTGCATATACTTTCCAAATTTTATACACATGCTTAGATGCCCATATAGACTAATATGAAAATTGCGCCATTCTAATAAAATTACGTTTATACAGGTCAAATTGATAACCTGCTTTTTCTTTAAAGTTAGTTTAATAGGACACTTATTCTATTATCATGTCGTTTTCAAAAATAAAAATAAATTTCATCCACTTATAAGCATATTTTGGCGATGAAACATCTCCACTGTATTTGTAGGACTACATAGTTTAAATACATATTAGAAATATTCTTGGCCGCGCATAATCCAGGCTCCATATAATTTTGCCCATTTTCCTTTATTGATTAGTAACATGTTGTGGAGCCATGAGTAGGTACATAAGATTTAAGAAAAAAGCGGGCAAGGATCCCTTATGCAGGAGTCATAGTTTTCGCAATAATTTGGAAAATATCGTATGTTACATCGTGGAAAAACAAACATCTTATATCTGTGCATATACTTTCCAAATTTTATACACATGCTTAGATGCCCATATAAACTAATATGAAAATTGCGCCATTCAAATAAAATTACGTTTATACAGGTCAAATTGATAACCTACTTTTTCTTTAAAGTTAGTTTAAAACATGGACATAGCCTGCTGATCGTAAATAACTGCGAGAATTAAACGAGAATGTAAAATTTAAATTAGTGTAAAAGTTGCTTATTTATAACGCCAACTACAAGGGTTAAATTAAATAAAAGCTTCACAAAAAAAAAGACTAAAAATCAACTCAAGCAGTTTGCAAGCAGAAACTAGTTCAACATAAAATATGGATAGCCAACAATTTCCACCAATCAAACGGCATACAGCAAACCAAATGAACCATATTTCAAGCCAGTTGACTTGAAATACAGAGCAGAGTGAAATACTGTATTCGCTTTCAAAGTCTACTAGTGTGCAGATCTAAAGTACGCTCTTGGGTATAGAATACGGCAATGTTACAGTATATAATTTTACAAAGAAGAATAACTGTCGCATCGTATATACATATTGTAATCCAGTATGGAAAGCACTGACGCATGGAAAGTATCTAAACTATTTCGTTAATTAATCCTACTCGCGTAATATTAGGTAGCACCATGTTTTAACAATATATTGCATAAAATAAAATATAAGGAAGCTTTCGAAATAGTTTCTAATCTCAGCATTTTACCTTCAGAAAACTATCTCGCCAACTCATAGTACACATGAACTAACTTTTGCAGCCAACTTACAAACTGTAATCTCCCACAAGTCGACATCTTTGACAGCGTTCGAAACATATAAAGCGAGGTTATAATTTGTTGGGAACTGTCTCAAGAGTTGCGAACTATTGTTGCAATTATTATAAGTGTAATTATAGTAGACGGAGTGAGCGGAAATGAAGTAGCTACGGAGCTTCAGTGATAGTGTTTTGAGTGTAAAATAACAGATATATTCACAACAGTGATCTTGTCGTGTCGTGTTTGGATGTCGTGGATGTAGGTAATAAGTTTATCACAGCGAAAAGTGAGCGAAAAAAGGTTAATAGGAAAAAAAAATTAAGTCGAGGACTCCTTGTTAGTGGAAACATCTACATTATAAAAACTATGTTTTTATGATTGTTTGTTTGTAATGAATAGGCTCAAAAACTACCGGACCGATTTTAAAAATTCTTTCACCGTTCGTAAGCTACATTATCCACGAGTAACATAGGCTATATTTTATTTGAAAAAAAAAAAAAAATAGGGTTCCGTAAGATATTCGGGTTTTTCGGACACGAGGTGTAAAATAACAACCAGAAAACTTACTCATTTTGCATACGCTGCCTAAACTATAAAAGATAGATCGATAAAATGTTCTAATTAATTGTAGATCTTATTAATATCTACAAAAAGTCCGCAACGCACTATATGTCGAGTAAGGCACAAAAACCATTTATTTATTAAAAAAAAAAGTTTTTTTTGGACTACATTTAAACGCGTTTATTTTACTCATGCTATTAATCCTTCTCTAAATAAATTAATTATATATACCTCTGGTAGCTTATTTGAACAAATTACTCTATTACCAGACGATCAATAAGTTCAGAGTCCTGAATAAGTTTGAATAAGCTCAGTCACAATACTAGGTTAGCTTATATTTGTAAACGTATGATTGTAAGTTAAATATTGGTCATTATAATTTTATATCAAGATTTTCTGCCTATTTAATTGATTCTTAATCCTTAAAAAAATCTTTTGCTTCTGAAGCAAAGGATTTTTTTTACCACTATGCAAGTGACGATGGCAATTTAACTTAAGAAAATAAAAAGACCATTTATCAAAACAATGATAGCTAAGCTGATATGAATACAGATTTCGTTTCTGCTATTAGTAACGCCACTCCCTTTTGACGTGCGAGCTGAGTTTCTAAACAAGTATTTGATATTATACTCCCTTTTGACGTGCGAGCTGAGTTTCTAAACAAGTATAATTGTTAAATTAGATCATTATGATTATTGTTTTATCGAAACATTTTAAAATAATTTTTAAAAGGATGAGGGTTATATTTCGATTATATATGACGGCGGGTAGTCTCAGGGGGCTATTGCGAAGCCCAAATAGATGCTCCATATCGGAGGACTATCTTTAAAATAACACTGCAGGCGTGTATACCAACGTGGATTTGTTCCATTTTATCACTTTTCATACGAAAATATAACGAGATGAGCGTGATGTCGTCAGATGTCTTTACTCCTCGGCGTTTGGAAACAGAATGTCTGCCAAAATGGCGGCAACTTGCTTTATATTAACGAACTGTCAAAGTCAGTGTCACCATTCTAATAAAATTAAGGGTATCGATGATTACGCTCTCTTTACAATCGAGTAATTAAGTAATCGAGTAACTAGCAATTAAAATAAAAGAAACTAAATCAAACGATCTTCGTAATGATGATGCAACATATATAACATATTTTAATTATTATTTTATAAAAATTATGTCTCAGTAAACCAGAAGATAGTACGAACTTAGTGTAAGATAGTAACAGTCGAGTTTAATTCATAGAGGTAGTCCATAGAAAGCACGAAAACGAGTGCGATAACAATAGCTTTCACTTTCATTTTTAAATTGTTTTAATTGAAAGAGAGAAAACATATGGCGGACCATAGAACGGCCATGGTCCGCCATATGGGCTCAGTGTGAATTGGTGGGTTTTAACGAGTGCAGATGCAGCCGGGACCAACGGCTTAACATACCATCCGAATCATGGAGTTTGAGTTAATTAATATTTATCATCGGCTCTTGTGATAGTTGCTTGATTTCAATATCGCTTTCCTTTTTCAAAGTTTACATCTTACTAGTAATATAAAGGCAATAGTTTTTAAGTTTGGATGTTTGTTATTCTTCACACAAAAAGTACTTAACGGATCTTGATGACACAAGTGTCATCCAAGGTATATATCGCACACCTAGATCTTAACTAAGACAACTCAAAAAACTAATGTAGATGCTTGACGATATATTTGTTTGTGTGGCAGGAGCGCGACCACTGGTTGATTCAACAAAAGAAAGCTAAAGTTATCTAGCGACCCGAACCTTTATTGAATTTGTTATGTTGGATAGATGCGTATGATCACCGAGTATTTGAATATTCTACTAAGTCAAAACTCAATCAAATTTTTGAGTTGTCTCAGTTTATATCTAGGTGCCGGACCGGTCTCGTGGTCGTTTGTCTCTTTCCTCTCGCCAGGCAAGGTGGAGGAGTGCGAGGGGACTGAGGGAGGCGGCTGTGAGGTGAGAGGAACCTGGGAGGTGCCCTACCGTAAGGTGGGGAGGGGAGTTCCCTTCGCCCCGCGGCTGCGGCGCTGTCGGGGTCCTGGCATACATACACTTACATGCATAATACACGCACATACATCACATCTACTCTACCCTACACAACACGTACACATACAGTCACACTTTCACAGTTACACATACATATACATACACATACTCTCACACACACTCACACACTTTACACACACATTTACACGCCGTACTAGTCTGGAGTAGTATGGTGGGTACTTACCTGGGGACTTACCTGCTGTGCTTGCACGACGACTGGTGCGGCGCCGGGACCTCGGTAGGGCCGTAGCCGCGGCGCGACGAGAGGGGATGCGACCCGTCGACTAGCTGGACGCCCCTGTCTGCCCTTCGGGCCTGATACAGGGAGTGATGAGGCTGGTCTTCTGTGGCGCATTGACCTACGGGGGGGGGGGGATCCACGAAAAGGGCTATGCCTGTGTGGATCCTCCCAACACGATGGGTAGGGGCACGGAGATTGCACAGTTGCGCATCTCTGGTCCCTAGTCAGGGGCAGCTGGCCGGTTCGCGCACCGGTCGGCATTGCACGCTCCTGCCTCGTCGTGGGGATGCGTCTCGAATGTCTCTGAGACGTACCCCCAACCCGAGTGGAACCTGTCCTTTCAGGGCAGGCCGAAATGGGGGCGAACTGCGCGGTGTATGGCCTCCGGGCCGATCCCGCGCCTCGCCCACCATGAGAGGGACATCGCTGAGTTTTAGTGGGTAAACTTCTGTTTCTTGTCTAGCCCCCTTTTGGGGGTGGGGCCACAGGAGGAGTCCCACATCACCCGTGGAGCCCGCGCAGGGCGAAGCGGGTATGCGTAACGCATTTCTCAGCGTCAAAAAAAAAAAAAAAAAGTTTATATCTAGGTGTGCGATATATGGCTAATTCTAAGCCTGGATTAACATATAGGCTACTATTTGTCGCACTAAATAGTTCCCTAGTGACACGTGGGCGAAGCTAGTGTAAAAATTAAGTTATAAATTACAAAAAAATAATGTTTATATACTCAACGAGAGGTATTTTTATTTTCAGTATTTCTTTGTTTCATATTCTAGTCACTAACAAAGTATTCAACATTTTGTAACTGTATACTCTTTTTTGCGGTACTCGAAACATTTTCATGGAGCCACGTAGTTCTCGAAAGGTAAAAAACTGACGAGTTACACACTCGCCGCTAACGAACATTGAAAACAAGACGAAAAACCGTTCCGGGCCGAATCGCCGTATCGGCGCCGACAGATAGCCGTGCGCCGGCAAACAGTGCTGTAACAAAATCAACGACTCTAACTGTGCAAACTGTTAGTACTTTCCGCTGATGTTAATTGAATAGTAGCGATGTTTTAAACTTGGTTATATTGTGTTCATTCATTTTAACCAGTGGGGTACTTAGAGGAGAGTGAAAAATAATGTACCCACAATTTATAAAATCAAGGCTCACCTTCATATGTTTTCATATCATACGTCTATTTCTTACAGAGTCGTTATGATTGATAAATGACTTCATTAAAATATGAAGTCTCTTTACACTACAGATAAAAATAACTAAAGACAAAGATCGTAATCGCTCACTGAACGAAAAAATAGTCCACAGTTTTCTCATCAACCGAAGCCAAGGACACTCGATTAATTCATCAATATTCTTTTTCAGTGCGCTTTCATTTGAGACCCCATTCGAGTATATTTGTAGATATTCGATTACTCTTCCCCACTTTCAGCAAACACAACTTTTAAGCGGCTCAACCGATTTTCATCAAACATGCCTAAGAACACTAGCAATCTCGCATATCACACGTTTAATAAAAAAAAGAATTAAGTTGAAATCGCTTCATTCGTTCCACAGATAGACACACACACAGACACATCACACTTACAACACCCCTCTTTTTGCGTCTTGGGTTAAAAATGTTTATTCGGAATTAAACTAATCTGCTTATATTATTCGTAAGATTAGACGTTTCCTAGTTAAGCTATACTTTGTTCCAGGTTAGCGAAAACGGGTGCTATTCATCCAAGTCCTTTTCTTCCCGCATAGGTAACTCCTCACTCCCCTCACGAAAGGAGTTCCAGTGCGGATTAAGACAATACCCTTATTGCAGGACACTCGAATCATCCATCCCCATGAGGTGAACCGCATCAGGTTTTATTAGGTAGGCTGGCTTTTCAGGGTGGGGTGGTCAGAGAACCCTGATTTGAGGCTTAAGGTGCATTCGCGTGTCTCTTGAGTTTTCAAACAAAAGGGATCCAGCTTGAAGATTATATATTTTTCCGCGACCTCGCACGTGTAAATTTATAGCCTATGTTAACCCTGTATGAAGAAGCTACCCGTAGGTGAAAGAACTTTTAAAATCAATCCGGCAGTTTCGTAGCCTATTCGATGTAAAAAAACAATCAAATCTTTCCTCTTCATAATATTAGTATAGTAGAATAAGTTGCTCATATTACTTAGAAATTAACAGAAATATTGCTTAGCGACGTAACTTATTTATAAAAGAGGATTGTAATGAGTGTGTCGTATCTTGTAAACGCTGTATAGCTTTGATCTCCATAATAAGAGCTCTTTCGACGTAGATCCTATTATTTATGCGCCAAACCGCTTAATTGTAGACTCTCTGGAAGTAAATAATATTGTTTGGTTAACATTTGAAGAATATAAATTTCGACCCAACAAGTAACCTTCTATCGAGTCGGGTTCCGAATTCTCTCTTCTCGTCGTCATATTGCAGGGGTGTCAAACTTAAAAATACAGAAGGTTGTATATTCGATTTAGAATTGTATGCGGGCCAGGTACAAATGAAAAACTTAAAACATATTGAATTATTATTCATCACTAGCCTATTAATGCCCCACTGCTGTGGCTCAGGCGTCTCCCATGGATTCGATTTTCTATTCGATTCCAGTCGAATCGAATAGGAAGAATGGTCAATGACCAACCACGCAGGCTCAAAGCCGATTGGTGAGTTTTAACGAGTACAGATGCAACCACGGTCAACAGTTAAACTTGCTTTCAGAAGTACGGAGGAGTTTGAGATACTATTTTTTTGGAAACCCATCCTGTTACTGGTCATTGCGAAAGTCACTGATGAACCGGATCGCGCTAATCACAGTGCTATCGTGTTCTACAATTATTATTCGCACAGTAAGCATAAATAATTAACACTCTCTCGCCTATCTAGGCTCACGCTACTCTTGAGATAATTTATAAATAAAGCCCGTGAATTTTTAAACTTCTGCAGAGGCTTCGAGTTTAATGTATTTTTTTTTTCTATGGGACATTACTGTCACAAGTTTCACATGACTGTTCTATACTAATATTTTAATTGGTGACAATAAATAACTTAACAGCTATAATAACATAAATAGGATAGGAGCTGCTCTCTGTTACATCGACGCTTAAACCGATGAACCAATTTAAATATTTTTAATGAAGTAATCGAGAAAGATGTAAAATATCTTTCAACCCAAAATTATTCTCCAAAGGAGTGAAATAAAAAGTTGAAGTTTGAATGGTGAATCAATCGTTTCTCGTGTAACACTAATAGTACTGTATTTTGGAATGCAATAAAATTAACAAAAAACCTGTTCAATTTATATTATAAAATGAAGTCGCTTCCCGCTGTCTGTATTCTGACAGGAAGGTACAACGCGGGCTAAATTTAAAGCTTACTAAAATAACTACGTTTATATTGGAATTTTATTGTGTTACCTACTAGATGTTTTCTAGCGACCTCGACCGTTTATATTATAGCCCATGTCACCTGCGTGTGATGCAGCTTCCCCTTGATGGACGAATTTATAAATCAGTCCATTGTATCGGTGCATATTCGATGCATACAAACAAACACTCAAACCATTCTTCTATAAAATAAAAGTGTTGATAGAAGTTCGCTAAGAAAGGTTTTGGAAAAATCTCAAATGGAATAAAAATCTCTATCAAGCTTAAATAGGAGTTTTATTATCAATTATTTCGCAAGTCGCAGGCGTAAAGCTAGCCGAATCATACAATTCGAAGTTAAGCTGACCCAACTTGCGTCCTGCAAGTTTTAGGAACTTAATTTTAACTTCAACCCGCTTATCAGCGAAGTGGCAGGAGATTGTAATGGTGCTATTGACAACTTCATTTAAAACAGTGCAAATTTTCAAGCTCTGTAAATGATTGGACTTTATTAATTATATGCCGTTAAGTAATAATTGAAAATATGACTTGAAAAGTGGATTTTGTTTGTACTTTAATTAAATAACTTGCGAAAAATGCGGAATTAAAGTTTAATTTTAATATTAAGGAAACAAAATGAACGTAAGATTTAGTTACTGAAAAAAAAATGGTTGTTGAAGAAAATTCTTTTTATGTCGGAGAATATCCACAACGTTTAAAAAACCGTTTAAATTCAAACCTAAATAACAAAGTGATAGTTTGATTAAGTGTTGCTCGTGTGCCGTGGCAGCGGCCGGCGAAGTGCCAGAAGCGCTATATAGTATGGTTGGGCAAATCGTCAAACGATAATGGCGACGACATATATAAACAGAGTGATTATTTTTTTATAAAGATTTCGTGTCAAAATAGTACACATTATTACATAGTTTCATTTTTCATTTGCTTCTACATTTGTAGCTAAGGGCCTGCGGTTACACTTAAGTTTAGCCGGCTAAAGATAGAAGCAACTAACATTGACACCTCATCGAAGATAAACCTAAGTTTAGCCGGCTAATTTTAAGTTTATGTTTACACCCACCTTTAGCCGTAACATATATATATAAGAAAAAAAAAGATTTCTTATATAAGAAAAAAAAAAAGATTTCTTATTAAGAATGATAAGTACATATACACCTAAAATAGTAACATCCATTTCAGTAACCTAGAACAGGGCATAGCTTAACTAGAAAACGCCTGATATTACGAATCACCTAAGCAGATTATTTTAATTTCAAATAATTACTTTATTCCTTGACATTTTTATAACCTGTCATATATGCAATTGCCTAGTGCAAGGCGTCGCATAAAAAATATCACAACTTTAGACATTGCTTAATTTCTTTAGGTGGGTCCTAGCCAATGGTGAAATTAATTTTTACTTTTGCCGATTCCTTTAAATTTAGGTGACAGATTTCGGCGACTCCTAAGTTTAGTGAAAACGGGCATAAGTCTGCATCTTAAGCAAATATAAAAGTAATAGTATAAGAAATTGTTCTTTGTTCTCTTAACTTGTTATAATATACTGAAGTGGCTACATGCTCACTCTCTAGTCAACATAATTCATGTTAACTTGAACTAACTTCCGTAAGGAGTTTTGCCAACTTAATACTAACTTTAACGGTTAGCTTCAACCAAATTGCGAGCTACAAATTTTAACACATCCATTCTTTGCAGGCGTGTTTTTAATTTGGTTTAATATCTATTTAATAAATAAAACCCCACAAAATCCTATACTTATATTATAAAAAGGTTTATTTTTCTCCTTTGTTGTTCTTCTAATCTTCAAAAATAATGAGCTACATCAAATGCGGGTGATACTTTTATTGTGAGAACGATAAAAATATAAGCATATCATAATTATGTATCATAGATATCGTAACCTATTTCAATTGGCTCTTAGGTTATAGGAGTGTCTATGATTTTGAAATTCGGTACTCGCAAGAAGTTAATAGGAGATTATGGTATTTGTTTTCATTTTTGCATTTTGGCATATTTACTTTGTATGTATACTAGACAAAACATTGGTTGTTGCATTTATGATTGTCCTTAGATTATTATATAATCTAACTCATCATTCATCATTTCAGCCGAGAGACGCCCACTGCTGGGCATAGGCCTCCCCCAAAGATCTCCAAAACGATCGGTCCTGCGCTTCCCGCATCCAGCGGCTTCCCGCGACCTTCACCAGATCGTCGGTCCACCTTGTGGGGGGCCTGCCAACACTGCGTCTCCCGGTACGCGGTCGCCACTCCAGGACCTTACCGCCCCAACGGCCGTCAGTCCTGCGAGCGATGTGCCCTGCCCACTGCCACTTGAGGTTTGCAATTCTGTGGGCTATGTCGGTGACTTTAGTTCTTCTGCGGATCTCATCATTTCTAATTCGATCTCGCAAAGAAACCCCGAGCATAGCCCTTTCCATTGCCCTCTGAGCGACCTTGAGCTTCCTTATGAGGCCCATCGTAAGCGGCCACGTCTCAGCACCGTAAGTCATCACTGGCAACACGCACGAATTAAAGACTTTTGTCTTGAGACACTGCGGTAGATGTTCCGAGAATACACTGCGTAGCTTCCC